CGCGTTTCCCAATCAGGGTGCTTTACGCGTCCTATTTGATCAAACAGATCGGTCAAGACTTTCATTACTCTACGCCGGCTCATAACCTGAACCTCTCTTTGTCCCCCTCAACCACCACCTGCCTTGATAAACACCACACACCAAGAGTGCCTATCTTTGTATATCTCCTGACTGTTGAGATCTGTGAAACTGCAGCATTTGAGCAAGCGCGTGATCGCCATTATCCAATACGGTTTTCATATGATCTGTCCGTTTGTCCTAACCGACTTTTGTATCTCTTGTAAACAGTGAAATGCAACGCTGAAACTGGTTACTCCAGGACAACGACTACCCACAGCGGTTTGTACGACACGAGCTTACCAAACCTAAAACAACCACGGAAAGCAAGGATCCAACAGACTGGCTGGCATCCACTGGTACACCCTACAGATCTGGGACATCTGAATCAATCAGAAATATCCTCGATAGTTATAACATCCGGGTTTTCTTCCGGATAGACAACACACTTCTACACAAACTGTTCAAGGTCAAAGATCCAATTCAGATGCAGAACCAAAGCAACTGCATTTACAAGATCAGTTGCAAGGATTGCCGAGCAGAATATATTGGACAAGCATGCAGATAGTTGAGAGTGGGAATCACGGAACACCGAAGAAAAGAAAAATTGAGACCACGCAGCTCAAACTCGAACGAGATTCGGCAATCGCACTTCGCGCCATTGCCTAGGGACATCGTGTCGACTATGAAAACACGAAAATTCTCCAACGAGGTTTTCGAACAAATACCGGGTGCTTATACGCCGATGCTTTGGCAATTAGTATCCCTCCTGGGTGTGTAAACCAAAACGGCGATGCAGGGGTTTCGAGCATCTGGACAGCGTTAACGTCACTTGCCAGCACTCGTTTTAACGTTGATTTGACCTCAGATAACCCCGATCCCACAGACATATTGCACAAACGGATTTGCCCAACGCCCGATCCGGATCCGTGACGTTCACACAGACACGGACACAGACTTACATGCAAACGCACGCACGCGCGCACACAGTGCTTGAGAGTTGAGAGTTGACAAACTGTTACTGACTCATTCGATTGTAAAATCACCTTGATAAAGGTTACCCACGGTCACTGAAACGTCGGCTTATTTTCACCTGTACCAACGTCGCTGTGTTTTCAAAATTACAACTTACATAAATTGGGATGATGGCCTAATAATATATAGTTTCAGTTTTTTTTACAACTAATAACCATGCATTTTCATGCGTCGGTTTTGGTTGTCTTTTTTATTAGAACATTTATTTATTGGAACGTTTTTCTCCAAGAGTGTTGAAATGCGACAAACTTGATTGCGCCTGATTCTCGTAGTCCTCGTCCACATGCGATCGTAATTAGGACACCTTCCATGTTTAACCGTTGCGCGGAGTCAGCGCGTTTGTCTTTTACGTCAAGTTGGTTGCGTTCGATCAGTTGCATAATTACCATCTTGCCCATACAGTCGTGTCTGTCTGACAGATGGTCGATTGATGATGTGTTGATTGCCATAGCCGGTATTTCATTCTCTTTTTTCAATTTCATTTGTCTTAACGAAGACTAACCAGGAGACTAGGTCACATAGGCCCCGTTAGGCTCCCTGGCTGGGGACCTCGGGATGATGGTCACCGATGGTTAGCTACACTGAGTGATATGGCTGGGGGTTGCAAACAGTGGTGCTGGTGCATCCACTCGTTATTTTTCTAACACCACTCTGTATGTATTCCCCATCTTCCGCTTGAATTTGCTTCGACATTCCAATCTTCATTTCGCTCTTTTATCCAAATGGGCAACCAAAAGCAGCAACCAAAACCGGCGCACGAAAGTGCATGGTAATGGTTGTAAAAACTGAAACTGAAACGAAGATTGGAGAAACTCATCAACCATAGAGGATAACGTTTTGACATGATTATCCTAAAACTTCCACCGGGTCAATCCATGTTTTAGGTCGTCTTCGTGGTTCGTCTTTGCAATTGCCTGACACGTTTTCATGTTCAGTGTGAACAAGGCACTCAAGGTCGCTGCCATTTGAAGCACGTTGTATAATCCGTTTCCCATCTTCAGTTCAATCTGTTCAACTCAATCACTTATACCGGGGAGACGTTGTTTACCGAGCTCATTGTAATGCAAAATTTGTCAAATGAATTACCGTGATTGGTACCGTCAATAAGTACCCACCCATCACTAGAACCCAGTGATCCATAGGCTCACCAAACCATCCAAAAACATAGCAACCTCAGTCAAAATCTAATTGACGCTTGTCTCTCCGTCCGAAGTTTCGAACTACTGTTAGGCCATGAGACCTCGAGGCTTCAGTACATTACATCGATAATCCCCTCGCTGAAGTTTGCTCCTATTCCTGGCGTACGCATATGCGCGGACACAAACAGACGCAATGATTCAGTTTTCAATCGAGGCTTGTTCTACTCCGTAGTCGGTGACCTTTGTCCGTAGACCTTGTCTGAGTTATTTCCCTTACTGGTAAGAAAAAAAGCCTGAGTGTTGGGACGTGCCTCTGTGCTGAACAAATTGTTGCAGAGGCTGAAAAAATTGTGTGTGAAGTATACATAACCACGGGAAATACCGTAGATGTATCAGATACTACCAAAGTAGAACAACAGCATTTGTGGTTGTCAGTGAACAATCAGGATCCTGCCTGAGTTGAACCGAGTTGTACTACTTCTACTTCTGAGACACTTCAGTGAAAGTCGCCAGCAGACTGCCCTAATTGATGTATGGTTAAAATCAGAAACTGGTAGTATTTTGAGGGGTTATTCCTATTTATGTGAATCGTATGATGCACTTGCTCACAGAGGCAACTCCAACTCCTTATATTGTCTCGGCACTAACTGGAAGGGGATCCTTGCTTGGGGTGCCATACCGAGACAAGCCGCGATTGGTTTGTTATTGAGTTTCACCCCGTGGTTATCTGTCTTACGGCTTCTTCTAACCAGTTTTTTCCCGTCCGTTCTTGTCAACCCTCCGATTGAACTTCTTGTGGGCTATTGTTAAATCACGTTATTCTTGGTCATGTGGCCAACGCACCCTACTCTGAATTCTCAATACGTGACGACAGTGCTGACCGGAATACAGGACAGCAAGGTGTAAGCCAATCGTGTAAGGTGATGCCGCTGAAAATTTAGAGCATGATTTCGAGAGGCAAGGGCGCAAATTGAAGTGAGATCAACAAGCCTTACCTCTGCGACTAAGTAAATGTTAGCAGCGGACCATCTCCACCATCCCTTGTCTCACCAGCAGTATTCATACAAGTGTAAAATTGAATGTCTCGAGCGGAACCGCACATACACTGTCCATTGCATTTAATTTTTACCTCACTGTGGTGGTATGTTTATCGACTCACTTTCTGATGTCATGTTCGCTCATTCCTACTGAAAACTGCGCGACATTGGATGGGTATAAGAGTGAGAATTGAAGACATCTCCCAAATTGCAATCATCTGCATTACAGATCAAAATGATCCAATGATTGTATTTTGTGGTAGCAAGTTTAATAGTAGTAAAGCAATACCTACAGTGTAATTGTGTGATGCTCATGTTTTCCCTGTAGTTCTATCCCTTCTTTGTTGATAACCAAAATATCACTCTACTCATCCATATATTGGAGGTAATTGTATGTTGGTTCATCAACAAACGTGATCGATTTACTCGTTAGTTTCACTGTCGATGCCGAAGATTGACTCAAACGGTATGCGTGCATCTTTTCATTGACTGTAGCACAAAAAACTGTGAAGTAATCTCTAGATAACCTTTTCCATGTTTCTGAATTATTTACGAAGCCATGCATTGCAGCCAGATTGCACACCCAAGCTTGTACATTTGATTTAACAGTGCTATGTCGATTTCACCTAACATCTCATAGACTAGTCACCTGAGGCCACCGAAATATTGCAATTGTGGGAGCTAAGACAACTGCTGAATGCCACAACAATTTGTTTTCCGAGAGCTGTTCGCTACTTTGTTTCAGAAATTCATTTATAATACCACCAAGATACCATATCCGTTTTGCAAGCTGATAATGCAGCGCTGTTAACGTATCGACATTGCTACCTAGTCAGTTACGTTTTACCTGGTGAACTAGTTTCGGATGAAGTTTGGGTACGGATTTAAACAGTTTGGCTTGCGTTTGCCAACTCCCGACACTAATGCTGCCGCCTCAGCGCTTGGTTGTCCATGATAGATCAAATGTTTTCCGTAGTTGTCCGACCGTTTCTGTCGGCTGATGCGGAGACTTGACCGTTACGAGACGTATATAAAGATAGAAACCCAAATTTCAAACACCATTTCCCGCCATGTTACTCAAGTTCGGTTAGGCAAATGAGATTGAGATTGACCGAAGAATATTGGATAATTGCGGTCTTGCAGTGGAGCGTGATGACCTCCGTAGATTGAGATTACTGGGACCCGTGTTACGCCTATCTCAGGATAGGCTCTCTCGGCGCACGGTGTTAACCAAAACAGGCTATAAGTTGAAGAAGGTCAAAGGTAGTCAGCATAGGACCTGGCACAGTGGTATGCAGCCCTCGACCAAGGTCGCGTCAGGCTTCCTACTTGGGAACCTCTGTGTCAGTCCAATTGCTGTCTAGAGACCCTGAATAGTGTGGCTGATTGTGGTTATTACTGCATTCTTTATATTCATCGTGATACTGTTTTCCGCCTTCTATTTCTTCATTCCTTCATCTGAACGGGAAACCAAAAGATTACAACCGAAGCCGCCTCATGATAGTCTGAGTTTAATGGTTGGGTGAACTGAACTAATGAATACAAGCTGCCTAATGGACTGTCCCGAATATCAAACAGACTGCATGAAAATGAATAACCCCATGCACAACACAGTCAAGTCGTTTAACTTAGGTGTTTGTATGCCTTCAACTTCTTCCTTTATAGTAATATGTTTATTGTTGGTGCTGATGAAATACTTGCACTTCATGGTCCAGTTCTTGGATTAAGCTTTATGCTTGTAAGCCTTTAAAGACGGTCGAAATGTTCCTTTATAATATCCAAGCACTCCGTGTTTCAGGTGTCTTTACCCGCACCAACAAGTGGCGTTGGACAACGCCGCACACTTTCGTCTCAGGCGCCCCGACTGCCTCCTCCACCCCCAATGGTATCTGCACTTGATCCGGTCCCGACAACTCCCGTTGTTCCGCCACGATTGAATTCAGCTTCGATCAACCCTCCTGGTGCTGTCGTGAGTCCTATTGGCGGTCCGACCACGCCCACAAGACATGTGCTCGGAAACAGCAATGCACTGCTAAATGGTCCGTCTGTGCCTGGATATGCGAACAGCACATCATCAAACTTGTCGTCACAGAAGCACTTTAAGCCTCCAATTGCAACTGGAACTGCTTCACGTCCCGTTGTACCGCTACGTGTTCCTGATACGATTGATCTAACCGGTGAATCGGTAACGGTTAGTAATGCTATCTATGGGCGCTCGACGGGAGTTGATGTTGCAAAACAATCGAACGGGGTTGTTTCGATGCCACGTCCGACTGTTCCTCGCATTCCTCCACCCTCTTCGGTGAATCATACTGGCTTACCTACGATCCGTCCACCGCAAGCAGGTGAGTGCTGGTTTTTTTTCTCTCTCATGTATATATTCATCACAATAACCTTGTTTGCAACATCGGGTGACTTTTGGATAGGCAGCTCTTTCTCAGCTAGTTCATTGAAGAATCAATGCTGTGCAAACAAGGTTATAGTGACGAAAATACATATGAATGAAGAGACGAGAGTACTGGATAGGCATGCCTGACGAGCGGCAAGAACCGCGAAACCAGTCGTGTGCTTTCAGGGAAATTTGGTCCAGTCATTCACGTACTACCTATTATGATATATATATATATATATATATAATGTGTGTATGTGTAATATACTCCAGAAATTTCCCATCGTAACAATCGTGAAACGTCACGTCACGTTATGAAGAACTTTAGGCTAATTTATCACACTAATTGAATTAACCCACCCCCCTTAGGTATCAGTGATTGAACGCTGAACTTTTTCAAAGTCAGAATTTGTGTCTCACGGTCTTTAGTCAAATCAGCAAACATCAAGTTTAAGCTACCAACCAGTTTCATGGCAAACCTACAAAAGTTTGAGTATGTTCGAAAACGTTTTTGTGTTATCGTTTGTGTTCGCTGAATTTCATCTTTCGCTTTACCAGCTCGAATTCTGCTCCTCATATATTTACAACTGATGGGTACTAAACGAGTTGATCATTGACATGGATTGGCTAATGTTGATCTTGTGATCCCCATTGCAGTCATATTCGAAACAATTTTCTTCACTATGCTCGATCGAAAACCGGCTGAATAATAGTGGGGATGACTTCTATGTTAGCTAGTGCAACATCTGAACCGAGCAAAACTGTGATGTGCAGTAATGAATTTATTTATCACCGTATATGAAATATTTTTGTGCTGCTGTAATGGGCCCATCCTCCGCTTTTTGGATATATCCAGAATGGCTGTCTTCAGCCTCTAACGAGAGCGCAATACTTTTCAGTGAATGCGTCTATGGATCAACACAATATTAGGTCCGGTAGTTTTAATGTTTTCGAAATGAACTTTTAGTGCACACCCAACGTACGGGGTAAACTTCTTGGTCATAGTGATATATCGTTCGACTGTGGAGACTGATCTAAAAAACCTGTCGAACTACACATAATCTCATGTAGATAGATTTGATGTTTTTCAGAACAGCAGACAAATCACTGACTCGTTTATGGGCCTTCATGCAACGAATAGTCAGTTTTCCTTTCTATTGATGGTATTTGTTGCAAATTGACCACTGATTACGCCATGGGAGGGATTGAAAATGTTATATTTGGTTCAGAGCCAAAGGTACACCTGGTATTGGTATGTACACTTCTATTCTCTATCATGATTTGCACGTTCAGTTCATAGCAGTTGGAGTACCTGAACAATGTGCTTTTGTGCACATATTGTTGAATTCGATGCGAATATATCCCCGAGATCGGTTTAGACAGCTTGTTTCTATCCAACATACAGATCACCAATGTGGTAACAAAAACTTAAATTATATTATTCGAAAAGGAAATCTTCCAGGGTTCCCGTCGTTCGGCGAGTGTATCTTCTTTGAATGAGACCTTGATTAATAGCTCTTGCTTTGGAAGATGAGCGAAATGTTGCACACATGAGGTGGGACTGCGGTTTCCTTCTGTAACGTTGGTGGGATCGATTTTGTGTGGATATTGATCCAGATGATTGATTGACTGTGGCCGGAAAGCCTGGAAATCGATAGCGTGCGGCATGGCAGCGCTCAACACTCAAGCGTTGACTAACGCACGGACTAGAGTGCGAAACTAATGATAAATCAGTAAAGTAACAAGGAATTAAATTGACCAAACCCATAAGTATGATATAACATGCAGACGGAATCGACAGCCAACCAGATTAAAAATCAGACGAACCAATCATTTGCAGATTGATTGCGATAATCGGTTGAAATGTA